AGACGCAGTGAAAACATTAAGACTTAGACATGGGAAATCTATCGATAAAATGCTCACCAAAACGAATGAATCCCGAGAGAGACGAATTCAGAGAGCACGATCCGACCCTGAAAAAATTGATCGACAATGTGATGCTAGCAATTGACAACAACATGTCCATGTTATCAGTTCAGGATATACACGATCACATGGCAAAATACGTCGACCTACCTCAGAGTTGGAGAAGTAAAAATAATGCTTTTGAATTAGTGGAATGTATCAACGCAGTTGTGCAGACTGAGATGATAAGCAGCATAAGAAATGCTCGAGAAATGCACTGCATGGCCCATAGGGAGGACTTAGGAATTGATGACGGATGGAAAGATGTCCCTATAATGACAGAGGTAGAAACGCTACTCCGGACAGTATACTCCATGTTTAGCAGATCATCTTTGAAGAAAGCTAAATTCACAGAGATGGCAGAGGTTTTGGAAGTGGATTCGCTGTCTTTTAGGCCTTTGAATGAAGTGCGTTAGCTGTGCACACTTTTTTTCAAGGGACATTATTCTGTTTGTCCGTAAAGTTTGTGAGCACTTGGTTGCCCGCTTCCCTGAAAATGAGCTCAAAGAGTGGGCTGCCTTTGAGCCGGGCACGTTGGATCATGCAGTTGGTGAATTTGATCATGGGCTGAATGACGTGACCAGTCTGGCGAAGAAGTTCAAAGCGCTTTTGGAGGAAGCAGACGATGCGGTCACGGGGCACATGTGTCAACAATACAACAAATTCAAGTTCAAGGTTAATGAAAAAAGGAAAATCGGACTGCTCAGATCATTTTCTGAGATTGTAACCTGGTCGCTGAAAAGTGAGCATTTTCCAGATCTGGTACAACTTCTTGACATTTGCGGCACATTCCAGGCATCCAGCGCCGACTGTGAACGCGGTTTCAGTCTAATGGAAGTGGAAGAGCCTCTCCTCAATATTATTAACTCGTCTTTATCTTTAGGTCATGTTCCAACAATATTCAAGCTGGCCGTAATAAAACCTCTCATTAAGAAACCGCAATTAGATCCAAATAACTTAGCAAATTACAGACCCATTTCAAATCTTCCATTTATGTCCAAAATACTTGAAAAAGTAGTGTCCGCTCAATTGTGCTCTTTTTTGCAAGAAAATGATATCTATGAAAAATTCCAGTCAGGATTCAGACCGCATCATAGTACAGAAACTGCGCTAGTTAAAATTACAAATGATTTACTTTTAGCTTCTGACCAAGGCCGTATCTCAATACTAGTCCTACTTGATCTTAGCGCTGCGTTCGACACTATAGATCATAAAATACTCTTGGATCGACTACAAAACTACACTGGTGTTCTGGGACAGGCATTAAGCTGGTTTAGATCGTACTTATCGGACCGTTCTCATTTTGTCTGTTTAAATGGGGAAAAATCAAAGATAACGTCTGTAGACTATGGAGTACCGCAAGGATCGGTTTTAGGCCCTCTGCTATTCTCAATATACAGTATATGCTGCCACTTGGTAATATTATAAGAAAACACGGAATTAACTTCCACTGTTACGCTGACGACACTCAATTATATATTTCATCACGACCAGATGAAAACACTAACTCATCTAAAATGACAGAGTGTCTTAAAGATATAAAATGCTGGATGACGCGTAATTTCCTGCTATTAAATTCAGATAAAACGGAGGTATTACTTATTGGTCCAAAAAACTACTCACAAAACCTCTGACAATACAACTTTAATATAGACGGATGTCCTGTTACTTTATCCACAACAGTAAAAGACCTGGGTGTTATACTAGACCGCAACTTGTCTCTCGAAAATCATATTTCATGTGTTACAAGAACAGCCTTTTTCCACCTTAGAAACATTGCTAAGCTACGTAACATGCTATCTGTTTCTGATGCTGAAAAATTAGTTCATGCATTCATGACCTCGAGACTAGATTACTGTAATGCTTTATTAGCTGGTTGTCCTGCATCCTCAATAAACAAGCTACAGTTAGTACAAAATGCAGCTGCTAGAGTTCTTACTAGGTCAAGAAAATATGATCATATAACACCGATTTTATCATCTCTACACTGGTTACCTATTAAGTTCCGCATCAACTACAAAGAACTACTACTGACCTATAAAGCCCTAAATGGTTTAGCTCCTATGTACTTAACGGACCTTCTTTCGCCCTACAATCCACCGCGTTCCTTAAGATCACTAAATTCAAGGCTTCTGGTCATTCCTAGGATATCGAAGTCCAGTAAAGGAGGGAGGGCGTTCTCGCATTTAGCTCCAAAACTCTGGAATGGCCTTCCCGATACGGTCCGAGGCTCTGACTCGCTCACACAGTTTAAAACTAGATTAAAGACGCATCTCTTTAGTCAAGCATTCACATAATGCTTACCTTTTAGTCCTCTGTTATGCCATACGGAACCGTTTGCCACTGAAACTGCTTAACGCACCAGTGGGGCTCGACAGCCTTTTAGACAAAGGGGTTGGCACGTATGGTTGGGTTGCGGAGAGTTCAGGTTACGGAGAGTTTGTGAGATAGTGGTTTTCTAACACCGACTCCCGTATAATGGAAATCATTATGAACATCAGCTATGCTAATTATTTCCCATCTGCCTTTTCTGCTGTTATCTCGGGACGCTTGTCCCGAGAAAAATGGCGTTCGTCAGGTCCAATTTTGTATCCAGCCTCTCACGGGGATTTCGGATGCCCCAACGCCTGTGATGAGACGACTCAACGCCTGCGATATGTTCTGGCGCCGTTTTATATATAAACAATATTTATTTTTAATATTTATATATAAACAATATGAATGTAAGCCAGAGGAGAACTGGCCCCCGACTGAGCCTGGGTTCTCCCAAGGTTTTTTCTCCATCCAATCTGATGGAGTTTTGGTTCCTTGCCACTATCGCCTTGCATTTGTCTTGCTTAGTCGGGGTTATTCAGTATTTAATATTTAACAATATTATTGATATGTGTTGTACTACATTCATGTTATCACTGTGAAGCTGCTTTGATACAATCTGTATTGTGAAAAGCGCTATATAAATAAATGTGACTTGACTTGACCTAATGAATGCCATTAAGACAAAATCACACAACCACCTCGAAGTTTTCCATTTGGACCAACTGATGAGAATTAAATCTAGGCAAAAAGAGAGTCTTATAGACCTTGACAAGGTCTACAACTACTGGAAAGAGGACAAAGACAGACAAGAGAAGATTTGAGGTAGAAATTTATTTCCAATATTTTAATTAGACCTACTAGGCCTTATATAGATCAAAGTGAACTTGATTACTGCAACATTTTGCCATATGTTTACACATTAAATCATGTAGCTTAATTCTGTTTTAATATATTTGCAGTTGTTAAATATAATAATGATGATGTTGTGACGAACATGATGTTCTGAGTCACATGATGTTCTCAGTCACATGATGTTCTCAGTCATATGATGTTCTCAGTCACATGATGTGTGGAGCACATGGCTTAAAAGAGTTGGAAGATGGCAGTTTGAGTAGACCTTGTGCAGTGGAAGGATGTGGGAAGTTAATCCCTGCAAAAAACCCTGTAAGGACACAGCTGATGGAGACTGTGTTAGGAGATCTCAGAGGCAAGACCTGTTTTGTTTATCTGGATGAAATTATTGTCTTCTCTCCTTCAAAAGAACAGCATTTCCATGATCTTCAAGTTGTCCTGGATACACTGAGAAATACAGGACTCACTGTGAATATGAAAAAAAGTAATTTCTTTCAAGAGACCTTGAAATTCCTTGGGCATGTGGTTTCTTCTGAAGGCATTCAAGTAAATTCTGAAAAGACTCAAGCTATTAAAAACTTTCCTGTCCCATCTAATCTGAAATCCCTTCAACGTTTCTTAGAAATGGCAGGTTGGTATCACCGGTTTGTACCTGACTTCTCAAAAACAGCAGAGCCTCTCACTGCCTAAAAACAAAAAGGAGCTAGATTTAAATGGACATCTGAATGCCAAACTGCTTTTGACACCCTTAAGGAGCATTTGGTGAAGCCACCAATCTTAGGACATCCTAATTTTGACTTACCATTTGTGGTATACACTGATACTAGTGACATTGGCCTGGGAGCGGTACTTGTCCAGCAGAGAGGTTTAGGCTCTGAAGAAGTTCTGGCCTTCGCCAGTCGGACTCTAAACAAGGCAGAACGTAATTACTCTACAACAGAACAAGAATGTCTTGCTGTAGTTTGGGCCCTGGAGAAGTGGCGGTACTACCTGGAAGGTCGTTATTTCACAGTGGTAACTGACCATGCATCACTACCTTGGGTATTTAAGACCAACAAACCTAGCAC